CTGCTCCGGCTGCCGGCCGGCGGCCCCGCGCTCACCCGTCCCGCTTCCGCCTGCTGTCCTCCTGCACGAACCCTTCCAACTCTCCTTTCCTCCCCCATCCTTGAGTTACCCCTCTGTCTTTCCTGCTGTTGCCGCGGGTGCTCCCACAGCGGAGCGGAGATTACAGAGCCGCCGGGATGCCCCAACTCTCCGGAGGAGGTGGCGGCGGCGGGGGGGACCCGGAACTCTGCGCCACTGACGAGATGATCCCCTTCAAGGACGAGGGCGATCCTCAGAAGGAAAAGATCTTCGCCGAGATCAGTCACCCTGAAGAGGAAGGCGATTTAGCTGACATCAAGTCCTCCTTGGTGAACGAGTCTGAAATCATCCCAGCCAGCAACGGACACGAGGTGAGCGGGCCGCTGCCCCAGTTCCGAGAGGCGTGGCGGGTCCCTGGGAAACGCAGAGAGGGAGGAAGGGAGGGAAGGCGCCCGGCCGCCCGGCCGAGGGTCCCGAGTAGATCCCTCGTTCGTTTTGGGGTGTGTGCGTAGCTGGGGCCCCGGTCCGCATTGCGTGTGTGTGTGTGTGTGTGTGTGTGTGTGTGTGTGTGTGTAGAATGGGAGGTAGAGGGGCAGGGAAACTTATTCCAATTGGATCAGTTTAGGGGGTTCGGTGGCTGAACGGTTGGTTCGTGGGCAGGAAAACGTGCCCTTAACCCACAATGTTTCGTCTTCGGTCTTTTTGTTGGGCTGAGGAGTGCCAGGCTTTAAAGCGAGTATGGCTGAATAACGCTACTGAGAAATTCTTCTGTGGGACGGAAAACAAAGTGCACCCGCTATCTTTTGGTAGATGTCTCTGCAAAAGTGCGTTAAACCACCAGAGGCTTAGGTGGAGACGAGCAGAGCCACAGGCAGGAGGAAGGGGAGGCGGGCGTGGGCTGGGGCAGGCGGGGCCGTCCCTACCACCGCCAAGACCGGCCGCAGGGAGCCGGCCGGCCTAGGGGGCGCGCGCCCGGGCTGCGGGGGCGGTGCGGGGTTCAGTCCCTGCGGCCCCAGAGCCTGGGCTGGCAGCTGGGAGCTGTGGGTGCGCCGAGCCGAGCCACCCCAAGCTGTACCGCCCCCAACTCTAGTTTTCTCCAACCGCCATCACTTGGAAACAAACCCACAACTTTTATTTGGGGTTTGGGACCGGATCAGGCCTTAAATCTATGTAAAAGAAAGGCGGAGAAGTGGCGGAAGCCGGGCACTAGTCCGGCAGGGCGGAAGGCGCTTTATCGGGTCTTCTGGTCCGCTGCGGGCAATAGAGCTGGTAACCTGAGTAGAGTAAATAAGAGACACGTGGGTGCTGGCTGGAGAAAGCGCGGAGCGGGGCCGCGCTGGAGGGCTGTTTGAAGCCTAGTCCAGAGCTGGTAGGGGGCGGATGGACCCTGATACCCGACACTCCACTGGTCACCCTTGTTCCACAACTGGGAAACCTTTCTCTGGAGGAAATCCGGTAGAAAAGTCCTGACACCCGAATGATTTAACCAACGCCTTTTCCCTCCAAAGAAACTTGAAGGATATACCTTTTTTTTTTTTCCCTTAAATGGCATCTTTCTACCCCCAAAAAGAAAGTGTGTGGTTTTGAGGGCGGGGACATTTTGGGTTTTAAACAGCGCGTTTAAGAACATCTCAGATCTGCCTTCTCTATCCCAATGGCAGAGGTGAGTACGCATTTTGAAAGGCTGGGGGCCTGCGTTCAGAGAACAGAAGGGTGTTCTTTACCCGTTGAATCCAGTTTGAGCGGGATGGGGGCGGGAGTAGGGTGCACCTAACCCCGCGTAAAAGATTTGTGACTATTGTGTGTGCTAGGAAAAGGAGGTCAAAGGGAGGACACACGTCCCGAGAACCAAACAACATCCAAAACACAGGCTTTTTGCCAAACTCTCCTATTTGTAGAGCAGCCTCTTTCTCTACCCATTTTGCTAGTCCTGCCTTAGTCCGTAGATAATTTTGCCACCCACTTCATATTCTCCCCACTTTTCTGGTCTGGGTGAAGGACCCTGCGTTCGAATCCGAGCACTCGGGTGTTAAAGCGTTACTCTTTGCTGGGTGTTAAGTGGGCATGAGGCCTGAGGGTGAAGGAGTAATACCACTGATTTGCACGTGGTTGAGTCTGTCTGGGTGGATGGTGATTACCAGAACTGATATCAACTGGGCTACTTTTTAGATGTCTATAACCTGACTCTCTAATTTTCCTCCCTTTAACCACAGAATCGTTCTACTTTTGTAAGCCTGCGCTCAGCCAGCCATAGTAGGTTATAAGCTCGAGTGGAGCTTCTACTGAAACTGCGCTCAGGGCAGTTGCCTTAAGAACTCATCTGAGTGGTTGGCTTGTTTATGTTTAAATGTCATTTTCAGTTGCAAAATGATATTTCAGCCTTCTTTTAATCAGATCTGATTGAGGTGAACAGTGGTTGAAGAGGCTATCAAAACCATCAACCCCATTAACTCCTACTCCTTTAATAGTAGGCATCCAGGGAGCCTTGATATGGTTTAATAAACAGCAGTCAGAACAGCATGTGGATCATTCCCAAATTTAACTGTATTTTTATTGGTGTTATTATTTATATGTTTTTGGTCTCGGGTGGATAATAATCACTCAAAAATACATGTTGACAAGAAAAAGATTTTGCAGTACTAAACACTAACTTATGTCTGTCTCTCAGAGTAATAAAACAGAGTTGCCCCTAAACCTCTTCCTTTGAATTACCAGTGCACACACAATTGTATCATTATTGTCACAAACTCTAAGGTGATTTTCTTTCTTTTGGGTGTGGGGATTCATGATGTTAGGTGGCCAGACAAGCACAAACCTCTCAGGAGCCCTACCACGACAAGGCCAGAGAACACCCCGATGACGGTAAGACACCCATTCTACTTCTTCTGACTTTAGCAGATAAGGTGTGCAATTTGTATAAATAGGTGTGTTTTGTTATTTTTGAATTCAAGAAACTGGGACTAGGTCACACTATGCCCACTATTTTAATAAAATGGTAAAGAAAACGCAGGAAACTTACAGCTTACCTCTAATGTATGTTACGTAATTTAAAAAGTGTTTTTGAATGAGTTAGGGACCTTTGGATTTCAGGTGGGTTCCAGATTCTTTGGGGAAGAGGGAATGTCTATAATGAGTTTTTCTCTTCCTCATCTTACTTTAAGTTCTAATTAGCTTAGATCTTTAGTATTTTTAATATATCATTAAGAAGAATGACAGTAGATATTGATTTATTTTCCAACCAGAATAGTTTTGAGTGGATTTTCACTTGCAAAATTACTGTTTCTTGTTCCTTATTACAGTGAAAAGGCGGTCAGTAAATGAGCAGAGCAGAATCTAACTTGTAAAAACATAAAACTTATAATTAGGAATGTGCATATCAGAGATGATACACTTTCTCCGTATTTCTGATTCTTACTAAAAACTTTAAAATTACATACATATGTATTTAGACTTAAGGAGAATTCCTTGTGACTTTAAAAGAATGAAGTCACCTTAGGGTTTCCTTGTCAGCCTGTCTGTTCTCCATTAATTACTTAACAGTTGGCCTAACTGAAATGAAGTGTTTTTACATACAATATGTTAACCAGGAGCAGGGAAGAGAGTTATATATTAGGCTTCTTCCTCAGCTACAAAATAGTTACACAGATTAACAAGAAGAAATATACATATTGAACAGAAATTTTTTGGCAAAATGATCTAAGTGTAGCACGTGAAATTAAACTTCCCAGAGTTAATCCTTTATAAATTTGGATAGTTGCCTATATACTAGATAACAACTCTTGCAGTAGAATCTAGAATTTTTCTGGAAATCTACAAGCACAGGTAGAATTTTTGAGTTTGTCTGCAAGGCAAAACATAACTTCACGTGTATAAATCTGTATGTGTGTGTAGCTAGATGGCCTAATATATTTATATTACAGTTTTAGATTTGTGTGTGTTCTGTATTTTTTAGTCCAGTTTGTTAGTGTTAGAACAAATTAAGTTAGATGGATAACACTTAGTTTTGTAAAAACATCAGTTAATAGTGGAAGAACTGTTTGAACCACATGTTTTTAAAACATCTGGTTTGCTGCTAAACTATTTAAGAGAATAAATACTGTCAATCTAAAATAGAGCATAATAATCCAGTTACAGTATTTTGTAAACAAATCTTTTATATAAGGTCTGATTTATCTTAGAACGATTAGATTTTGAGATGAAAAATACAGTAATATAAAAGGAAAGTCATCATTGATTGTTCTTTGGATCCTCCCAGGAAAGCATCCAGATGGAGGCCTCTACAACAAGGGACCCTCCTACTCGAGTTATTCCGGGTACATAATGATGCCAAATATGAATAACG